GGGTCAAAGTAGGCTGTATTTCCTACGTAAACTCCAATCTTTTAGAGTCTGCAACACCATGTTGCGTATGTTCAATGAGTCTGTAGTGGCCAGTGCCATTTTCTATGCTGTGGTGTGCTGGGGTGGTAGTGTAAAAGTGGCAGATATGAAGAGATTTAACAAATTGATTAGGAAAGCTGGCTCTGTGGTGGGTGAGGAGTTGGACAATATGGAAACTGTGGCTGAAAGGAGAACATTGTGCAGACTTCGGTCAATTATGCACAATGTAGATCATCCTCTTCATAATGTGGTTGACGAGCTGAGAAGTACCTTTAGTCACAGACTTTCCAGCTTAAAGTGTTCCACTGAACGCCACAGAAAATCCTTCCTTCCCACTGCTATCAGACTTCATAACGTCTCCCTCAGTCACTTACTCTTACAGTAATATATGCTATACCTTGCTGCTCGTGCCATATATTACTTATTACGGGTTTTAGTGTGTGGAAGTCTGTGCATTATGTTTTATGATGTGCAATAATCTACTAGGTGCAATATTTGTACGTTTTTTTACTGGGTCTTAAATATTTTTAGTGCAATATCATTGTTTTTTAAATGAGTGCTGAATCACTTTACTACTGAAATATTTTATGTGTAATTGTTTTATGTGGAATATTATTGGTTTTGGTTAATATTATTTTCATTACTTGATATATGACTTAATAGTATTAGTTACCACTGATTCTTTTAAGTGTATTATCTTATATAATAGTTTGTATATTTATGTATTGTGGCTGTTTCCTTCTAAAGTTTGGTTGGATTTATGTGACTTATTTCACTTATTTAATTTATTTATTCTGTCTTGTGTTTTTGTGTTTCTGTGTTTTGTGTGTTATGGCACTCATTACGTAAGCAATTTCCTGCGGGATCAATAAAGTTTTCTAAGTCTAAGTCTAAAAAACGCGTCCTGAAAGCGTTTGCGCCCTGCGTTTTGCGCTCTGCGGATGGACCGTCAAAATAGAGCCTCTGTTTTGCTCTTGTTTTGATCGTGTTTCTTTCTTTCTTTGCCTTTGTGCTTTTTTCCTTTTTCTCTCATTTTCCTTAAAGAGCCCATATTATACATGAAATAGGGTCATATCTTGGTTGTAAGGGTCTCCAACAACAGTCTAATATGCATGCAAGGTCAAAAAACACTTTCATGGTCTTATCTGCATTTATTTTTACCTAATTATCCCAGCGACTCCCGTATGAATCGTCCAGTGATTCATTTGTTCCCAAACCCCTCCTTAGCGTGAAGCTAATCTGCGCTGATTGGACGATGACAGTCTGTCGCGATTGGTCGACTGCCTTCAGTCTGAGTGAAAAGCCAAACAGCTAATCAGCAATATAAAAGTAATCACAGTTCATAAACGCTCGATAGTGTAGGCGTGGATTTTAGCTGCCAGTGGGTCAATGTAAATACAGACGATGGACTTGAAAATACAGACGATTAACTATTTTATTGAGCAAAAACTCCACAAACTGTCAAGGAGATCACATAGCTTGTCTTACTCTGCTCTTTTCACAGACACAAACACACACACACATTGCCCTCGTCCGCGCACACATACACACCTCCGGGCGACAACGCGCACGCACACATACACATACCTCCGGACGACAGCGCACACACAAACTACCCTCGTCCACGGAGCTCCGTAAACAAAGCAGCACGCGTCGCGTTTTTAACGTGACTTTGCACGCGATAATAGAATATAGCGATTTAACCTGATACAGTACACGCGGTTACAAGTAACAAATCACAACTAAACACATTTGCAAGCTAGAGTCAACGAGGCAACTTTAATCGCACGTACTTACACTTGAGAAATGGAGGAAGAAAAATCCATCCTGACGTCCATCAGTAAGTTACTCTTTACTCATCCTTTAACAAACGCAGATGAAGTATTCTTTGTAGCATGTAGTTTGCAGAAGTTTCCAACTGCTTGGTTTTAATGCTGAGGTTTCATCTTTGGGTAGAGACTCAATAATATCCATCTGCAGTGTGACTTCAATCGACCGGCATGTTTGTGTGCGTGTGTTTGTGTGTGTCTGGGTTTCTGCGTCAGAGGGCGGGGCCGCAGGTTTGAAATCTCCCGGGTTTGCGCGTGCACGTGAATAACTTGGTTTCGTTCGTACCTCATGGCGAAACACCTAATGACTCGTTATCAAGGCGACTCGTTTGAAGCACTATGAGTCGACTCTTTTATAGATGAATCAACCGTTTTAAACACTGTATTCTTACAGATTTAAGCCTTAGCTGGATACTTCACTTCACTTAGAGCTGTGTTACACACTACATGGAGGGGAATTTTTTTTAAAAACCCATAATATGGGCTCTTTAAGAATTTCATCATATAGAATGAGATGTAGTGTAAATACATCTTGTTAGTTTCTTTATTGGTGATTTGTATATAGTTTTATTGGTTGTTAAATAATATTTCTGTTATTAATATTGATGTTTGTTTTAATAAAATGTTTTAAATGTTTAAATAAAAATATTCATTTATTAAACACGCCATGGTCAGTGTTTTATTGGAATTTATTTACTCTTCCAAATGAATATGTACATGTCAAATTATGTACAGGTTACTGCAACTGAGGAAGAAATTTATCAACATAAATAGTTGCAGACCAAAAAATACATTTCACTAATTCTTTCATTGTAAACTCTATGGCCACAGCGTGTTCACCCTATTATTATCTATTTATTATTGTAATTTATACATTTTTGTTTTCTAAACTTGTGTACATAGACGTAAATATAAAATTACTTACCAATTACCACAAATAAAGAAGAAATTTATCCAGAATCGGACAATAAACAGTCCCCCTCAGAAATTACTGCTTTCTGACCACAGAGGGCGCGCGCAGGAAAGAAAGTGAGGGAAAACCATAGACTGTAAAATATATGGACGTAGTATCCGTGATGTCACCCATAGGTTTCTACAGAGCGCAAAATAAGCCACAAGTAGGCGCGGCCAACCGTCGTCATTTTGTTCGCGCGTCATCACACCCAAGGCAGGATACCAAACAAGGGCAAAGAGGCGGAGAGTGAGCGGAGCTACAGACACCTGCTGACAGTTTGCTTGGACCTGGTTCAGACACACTTTACTTTGGGAGAAACGCTTAATACTTCATCACCTGCGACTCGTTTGTATTCTGACCACTTGTGCTTGGTTGTACACTATATCAATAAAGAGTTTAGACTTTTAAAAACACTGCTGTAATACATTGAGCCACTAAACATTGTTCTTATGATGTTTTTCAACAGGAGGAAAACGCGAATGACTTCCAAACACTTCAGATATAGTCTGTGTTAGTTAATGCAGGACTATTGATGAAATCCAGCATAACACTGTATGACAACGCTTCAGATGACTGTTCTAGAGCCTACAGCTAATCAATCTGACAGATTCTGGAGTGCATTACAGCTCTAAATATAAATATAAACGATAAATGATCGTAAATAAAGCAAATACATGTATAGAGATGGTATATAAGTATGTAACTTTACTCACATGGGAAACGGAGGCCACGTGAATGGTTTGTGAGCACAATTAAGTGCACTCAGCATGACTTTCCATCAAATAAGTGTAGGAAACAAGTCCAAAAGGCAGTTGACTGTGTAAAGCCACATAAAACAACACAGAAATACGATAAATATGCCGAGTTCAGAGGCTAATCTGAAGGATTCAGCTGAGGTGACGTAACGGCGACCAACGAGACCTAGCTGTCACTCAAGTGGCCACGCCCTTAATTATGCAAACTTAATATAACTTAATATAAAGGAAACGGATGAGTTATAAAAAAATTCACCCCCCTCACAGTTGTCATGAAGGGTAATATTAGCTGTATTGACCAAAATCTTTTTTTGTACCAGGCTGTAAACACCTTTTTTTCTGCTGTAAAGTTGGCCATTCTAACAGTGGGCTCAATTGAAATTTGCTCTGTTTTGGAGCCAGGAGCGGCCAAGACTAGCGGAATTTCGGATGAATTGCAGTTTTAGTTACTTCCGTATTGGCTTCCTGAGAGAGAGCGGGAGGTTGCCGCTTGGGGAAAACGCATCATCACGAGGGGCGTGTTATTGAAGGCAGGATAGGATGTTGGTGATTGGCTGAGTAAACAAATATTTGCGCTCGTCTCTTTCGTTCTCTCTCATCGCGCTCTCCATTACATACTGTTGTAAGTAATGCCCTATTGGCGACAGGTAAATCGTTATGTTCTCTTTATTGATTAAACATTTATTTCTGAAATCTCACTGAAGTAGTTTGTTGAACTGCAATGTTCAGTTATAGCTATAACATTATTATGTAGGTCAGTAAAAACGCAGCCTCATAGAGAACAAATATGCGCTAGTCATTGGCTTATATTAATAAGGAGTTCAAAATGGTCACGTCCGTAACGCAAAATTATGGCTGTTTAGAGAAAGGAACTGAAATGAGTTGTCGATCATAATTAGCATGGACATATTTTGGCTTTGTATGAAAAGTTTCATTTTATTTGTGATAAAATTTATTACACAATATAAACTTTTTCATTAAATCGTTACAGATGTGACACGTGATCGAAGCTGCGTGATGTCTTAAATATGTAGCTCATAAATTAAAAGGGCAGTAATGTTATGAAAAAGTGAGGGTAATCATTTATACTACAGACTCCAATCCTCCTGCAGAATGCTTACTGTTAACATAAAGCTTGAAAAAGGGGAGTCTTTAAACCCTTTTTAGAAAGCACGAAATGTGGTCGGATGAAAACTAAATTTTCCATTGGCACAAGCATCGTATTTCATGGATAAACAAACCGATTTTTTTAAACTTTCCACGAAAGCACACCATTACAATAAAATATAGACCTTAATGAGCAAATTTAAATTGGTTTTGTTATTTTGGTGAGAACTTTATTTTTTCATGATAAGGTTGACATTTTCATGGAATCAGCCATATACAGAACACAATAACTGAGCTTTGAGAAAGAAAGCCAACCTGTTTGTTCGGCAAGATCTTCATGTGTGAATGTTTCTTCAATCTTCAGGTCTTCAATCTCCTCTTTAATAAACGCCATCTTTATAATAGGGTCACGTGGAGATCAGTCGCTTCAGCTGGAGTTCTTCTGTTTAAAATGAAAACAATAAACAGAGAGTAAAAGGAATGCTGCACTGATACAATACATGCAGTAAGTGAATGTGTTTGAAAACGTAACATTCTGTAGTGCATATAGTTATCTTTTAAGGCCATTATCGTTAAGGTCTGATGTCCGATGTGATTTTTCTATGTGCAATTTGATTGGACAGGATTAATGAGCCTGATTATTCAGTTTGCCCCATCACCATAAACAAGGGAAAATAAACACAATGTAGTGACCGCAGGTCGCACTACAGCACTAACAATGTACTCCAGTAAAAGCACACATTTTTAAAACTACTCTACTATTACAGTAATTCGAGTATTAGTAATTTGTTACTTTACACGCTGGTTATATATTGACTACTATTTGAATTGTCTCATTCATTTTCAACACAGAAAGTGGCGAATCTGTGGTTTTTGTTATGGCGAAGCGACAGTGTATCTGCACTGTTCATACACTGGAAAACATGTCCATGTTTGCTGCTAACAACTGTTTGTACAGTAGCTGTTTGAATATGCATAGGGTGTATGGGGCATAAAATACGCACACATACAATGAGTCACATGAATTTACCGATCATCTGCATTCCTTCACAAAACATAAGCTTTCCTTTTAAAAGCAGAAAAACTCTTCTGCACAAATGTCTGGATAGTTTTAAGCAGAGTCTACATTATCCTACAAAAAAATAAAAATAATAATAAAAATACTAACCTTCCTCTATTAAAGGCTTACATTCAGTTATTATAGAGATTATTCAGTTATTATAGATATTATTCGGTTATTAGAGGGATTATTTAGTTATTAGAGAGATCATTTGGTTAATTAAGAGATTATTTAGTTATTGATGAGATTATTCGGTTATTATAGAAATTATTCAGTTATTAGAGAGATTATTCGGTTATTAGAGATTATTCTGTTATTAGAGAGATTATTCTGTCATCAGATAGATAATTGGATTATTATAGAGATTATTTAGTTATTTGAGAGATTTTTTGGTTATTAGAGAGATTATTCGGTTATTAGAGAGATTATTTAGTTATTAGAGAGATTATTCAGTTATTACAGTGATAATTCGGTTTTTAGAGATTATTCAGTTATTAGAAAAATTATTCTGTTATTAGAGAGATTATTCGGACATTAGAGGGATTATTCTATTATTAGAGAGATTATTCGGTTATTAGAGAGATTATTTAGTTATTAGAGAGATTATTCAGTTATTATAGAGATAATTTGGTTATTAGAGGGATTATTTGATTACTAGAGAGATTATGCGGCTAATAGAGAGATTATTCTATTATTAGAGAGATTATTTAGTTACTATAGAGATCATCAGGATATTACAGAGATTATTCAGTTATTATAGAGATTATTCTGTTATTAGAGAGATTATTCGGTTATTAGAGGGATCATTAGGTTATTAGAGATTATTTGGTTATTAGAGAGATTATTCTGCTATTAGAGAAATCATCCGTTTATTAGAGATCATTTATTTATTAGAGAGATCATCCAGTTATTAGAGAGATTATTCTTTTATTAGAGAGATTATTCAGTTATTAAAGAGATTATTCAGTTATTAGAGAGATTATTCAGTTATTAAAGAGATTATTCAGTTATTAGAGAGATTATTCAGTTATTAGAGAGATTATTCAGTTATTAAAGAGATTATTCAGTTATTAGAGAGATTATTAAGTTATTATAGAAATTATTCAGTTATTAGAGAGATTATTCGGTTATTAGAGAGATTATTTAGTTATTAGAGAGATTATTCGGTTATTAGAGAGATTATTTAGTTATTAGAGAGATTATTCAGTTATTATAGAGATAATTCGGTTATTAGAGATTATTCAGTTATTATAGAGATAATTCGGTTATTAGAGGGATTATTCGATTACTAGAGAGATTATTCGTCTAATAGAGAGATTATTCTATTATTAGAGAGATTATTTAGTTACTATAGAGATCATCAGGATATTACAGAGATTATTCAGTTATTATAGAGATTATTCTGTTATTAGAGAGATTATTCGGTTATTAGAGGGATCATTAGGTTATTAGAGATTATTTGGTTATTAGAGAGATTATTCTGCTATTGGAGAAATCATCCATTTATTAGAGATCATTCATTTATTAGAGAGATCATCCGGTTATTAGAGAGATTATTCGGTTATTAGAGAGATTATTCAGTTATTAAAGAGATTATTCAGTTATTAGAGAGATTATTCAGTTATTAAAGAGATTATTCAGTTATTAGAGAGATTATTCAGTTATTAGAGAGATTATTCAGTTATTAGAGAGATTATTAAGTTATTATAGAAATTATTCAGTTATTAGAGAGATTATTCGGTTATTAGAGAGGTTATTCTGTTATTAGAGAGATTATTCGGTTTTTATACAGATCATTTGGTTATTAGAGAGATTATTTGGTTATTAGAGAGATTATTCGGTTATTAGAGAGATTATTTGGTTATTGGAGAGATTATTTGGTTATTGGAGAGATTATTTGGTTATTGGAGAGATTAGTTATTAGAGAGATTTTTTGGTGATTAGAGAGATTATTCGGTCATCAGAGGGATCATTAGGTTATTAGAGATTATTTGATTATTAGAGAGATTATTCTGTTATTATAGAGATTATTCGGTTATTAGACAGATTATTCAGCTATTAGAGAGATTATTCGGTTATTAGAGTGATTATTTGGTTATTAGAGATATTATTCGGTTATTAGAGAGATTATTTGGTTATTAAAGAGATTATTCTGGACCTCTTGACCACCATTATTCATTAAATAACTGCCTCTACTTGTGATCTTCTACAGTTTGGTTTGTCATAATGTTGTTTTAGTCTTTCCAGTCTTTGCTGGTCCAGTTACTCATTTATAGAGGTGAAGTTAGTTTTATATTCGCACATTCGTTCATTTAGAAGTCTCTATATTGTTTACCATGTTACTTTGAATATTCGATCAGAATTAGCATGCAAGTGTGACTTCAAAACAACATTAGCACTGTTTATTTGAAGGTGAACAATGTTGTACTTTGATAGTCATTGGCTGCTAATATGATTTCGCTATTTAGAGTTTGCAAATAATACTTTTATGACATTAAATTATTAAGGGGAAAGTCTGAATATCCGAATATAAAACCAACTTTACCTCTATTACACATTCAGCTATACTTGAGANATGTTTACTTTATTACCTAGTATATTAATTATGTGCTCTGTTCTTGTTATTTTATGAGTCATTGCTTGTATGTCCTTATCATTTTGTAATGTGTTAACATTATTAAATAAAATTATAATCGTGTCATAAGTAGCAGAAGACCTAAGTTATCTAATAAATAAATCGGTAAGGGATAATATTAGGTTTAATATGTACTCATTAATCATAAGAATACATCCGAATGGTTACATTCTCATTAAAACGCTTGCAGTAAGTTTATAAAGTTTTATATTTGTGTTTGTATTTGATGCATTTACAGTTTTGACAAGCAGGTGACGTCACCGCATGGCGATTCGAGCGACTCGACAAACTGAAACCAGCCTGTTTACAGATGACCCTCTGCAGATAATAACACACAATCACTCTCATATGGTTCTACAACATTCAGTGACGAACAATTCATTTAACATTTTAAAAATGTAGTCTTTTAATATTATAAAAACTGTCTAAATGATTTGTCTCTATTTATTAGGAACGTTAAAAACAAACCTTTCTCCAGCTGACTCGCTGCGCGACGCTGCTGTTTGACGTCACTCTATTCAGACAAAGCAAAATAAAAGTCCTTATTTGCTGGGTTTATTTGTTTTCACTTTATTTATTTATTGTGTAAAAGCGCTTCATGTGCAGGGATTTACGTACTTCAATTTAGAAATGAATCTAAAATAAAGGAAATAATGAGAGTATCACAGAATCCCCATTCACCCTCGAGATCATACATTTTGTCTTGAAGTATATAGCCTAGAACTGCAGTTCTATTATTAATATTCAGCAATATGTTAAGAATATATCTGTATATCAGGATATATATATATATATATATATATATATATATATATATATATATA